TCGATGACTCTAATATAATACTTATATATCTCAACCGTACAATTGTGCATTACTGAACCCAGAAGTAGTATTACTGAGTCCGAGTAGTAGCAATAGGAGTATTAGCGGTGGGGGCTGGCTCCCCCACCTTCCCCGTGTCAATTTTTTAATTTGATACTACACTGAAGTGTTAGGTAGTACAAAGTCCTCACAAGAGAGCAGCGAGGCCAGAAAAGGGTTCTCCTATTTGATCACTGCAGCTACCACCGTGGCTGCCACATAGGTGGCCAAGAATGTCGTCTCCCAGTTTGTTTCCAGCATGAGTGCTTCAGCTGATGTGTTGGCCATGTCGAAAATTGAAATCAAGTTATCTGATATTCCTGAAGGCAAGAACCTGGCCTTCAAATGGAGAGGCAAACCTTTGTTTGTGCGTCATAGAACCAAGAAGGAAATTGAACAGGAAGCTGCAGTCGGAATGTCCCAGTTGAGGGATCCGCAGCTGATTTAGAACGCGTAAAGAAGCCAGAGTGGGTTATCCTGATAGGTGTTTGCACTCATCTTGGTTGTGTCCCCATGGCAAACGCAGGAGATTTTGGTGGTTATTACTGCCCTTGCCATGGGTCACACTATGGTGCATCTGCATCGGGCAGAATCAGGAGAGGGCCTGCACCACTCAACCTGGAAGTTACTTCATATGAGTTCATGAGTGAAGATTTGGTGGTGGTTGGTTAGAGACTTGGATTCATGTCATCAGCATCTTGAAGTCTTCGTGTCACTGTAGAAGAGTTATTTGAGAGCAAGCCGTCTGTCCTTCAAGTTGGTTAATTAAAATGCTTAAGAATTGCTAATAATGTATTTGCAAACATTGAGGAGTAAATAGAATATAATGTTGAATACTTTAAAGCATTCACCTAATAAAACCATTTTTGAACATTGTTACGTGCAAAAAAAAAAAAGAAAGAAATCAAGTATCATATTGCATTGGCTAAATTTGATGCAAAAGTCCTCTTTAAAGTGTACAAACAAGGATGTCACTTTAAGGACTAAGGTACATTTGACCTGAGCCGTGGTCCTGTGTAGTGGTTATACGTCGGGCTGCAACCCGCAGGTCAGCAGTTCAAAACCACCAGCCACACCTCCGGAGAAAGATGGGACTTTCTACTCCTGTAAACAGTACAGTCTCAGATACTCACGGGGGCAGTTCTAACCTCCCCTAAAGGGTCCCTATGAGTTGGCATGGACTCAATGACAGTGGGTTTGTTTTGTTTTGTTTTATAGTATGGTCCATCACTTCCCATGTATACAAAAGCTGGCTAATAATGAAGGGAGATCAAAGAATTGGTGCTTTGAATAAGGGTGTTGGCAAAGGATATTAAATAGACTAGAGATTATTAAATAGACTTGGGAAAAGTACAGCCAGAATGCTGCTTAGAAGTGAGGATGGTGGGATTTTGTCTTACATGCTTGGGACATGTTGTCGAGAGGGCCCCGTTCATGGAGAGGGGCAGTGTGCTAGGTTGAGAGCCTATGAACAGGAGAAAGACCCTGAGGGCAATGAATGGACACACAGTGGCTGATACACCACGCTCAAAGTTAACAATGGCCAGGAAAGCCCAGCACCAAGCTGTGTTAGCCCAGGTAGACTAGAGAAATGAATCATAGAAACTCATATGTGTATAAGAGAGAGTTTTATATAAAGGGTAATTGTACATTAAGAAAGCATCCCAACCCAGTTCAGTCCAAGCCCATAAGTCCGATATTAGTCCATATATCTGATACCAATCTATAAAGTCCTCTTCAGACCCAAGAAACACACGCAATGACGCTGAATGAAGGACAATCATGGGCCAGTGGGTAGAAAGTCTTTGAATCTAGTGGCATTGAAAGCATCTCATGCTGGCAGGGGTCTCTATTTGGTTTCTCCGGCTCCAGAGGTGTGGTTACATCAGGGTAGGTCCATGTGGCATCTCCTCTGGGATTTCTTGAAGGAAGTAAGCAGAGAGAGAAGTCTTCTGCCTCCAAGGAAGAAATCCAGCAGTTCCCAGAATTCTCAGGAGAAGGCCATGCCCACACAGAGGCTGCATTGGCTATGATCTGATTAACAACTAGACTCCACCCCTTCACTCTGAATCCTCTCAAGACCCCAATTGACACCAGATTATGTAACTACCACACAAGCTGTGTGCTCTGTTCTGTTGAGCACAGGGTAACTCTGAGTCAGAACGGACTTGGTGGTACCTAACACGTTTCACAGGGCCATGGTGAGGAGTTAAGGGGCTAGCTCCTGCCAAGTCCTCAGAAGAGTCCCTGGCACAGAGAAAACACTCAGTAAAAGTTGTTAGGTGCCTTTGAGCTGGCCCGAGACCCATGGGCCCCCTACCCACAATGGAATGAAATACTGCCCCATTCTGATCCATAGGATCACAAGAATGATGATCGTTTATTGGTTTCCTCGTGAAAATTCCCACCACAAATTAGCTTCCCACTGGACATTGCCTGGGCACATTGCTCCATGGCTACCTTCTCTTCCACAATGGGTAAGTGTTGGGAAACTGGAAGCTTGGGAACCTATTTCCTAGGTTCCAGACCTATGTTTATAAAAGTTCTGTTTCCAGCGTGTGGGGTTCCAGGGCTGGCTCCCGGTGAGCACGTGGTACAAGTGGATTCAACGCACATCTTCCCTGAAGCGGCTCTCTTCCCCTGACAGGCCCGAGCTGGTTGGATGGGAACCAGGCACTGCTCCCAGGAGGGTTGACCCTGCTTTGGAGTGGGGCTATGTGAATTTAAATGTTCATCTGAGTGTTCTAACAGAGACCTACATACCAGTGCTTTAAGTAAGACGGACATCTAGTTATTTTTTCTCTTCCGTAACATTTCAAATGGCAGCAACCCAATGTGGTCGTCAGAGACCCAGATGCCCGTCAATTGGTTGCTGAGCTATTCAGAGGATTTGAGCCATCCTTTCCAGGGCGGCTCTCACCACATCTTCATTCCAACCAGCAGGCGGCAGAAAAGCGAGAACCGTGGGGGCTTCCTGTGGTTACTGGGAGGGTAGCTGGGTTGTGATCCGCAAGCTCCCCAGTTCAAAACCACCAACAGCCCGGCTGGAGAAAGACTGGGCTTTCTACTCCCGTCCACAGTTACCATCTCAGAGACTCACAGGGGTCACGTGAGTCAGCATTGACTAGGCAGCAGTGAGAAGTTTTTTGTTTGTTTGTTTTTTAACCCCTTCCTGCAAGAGCAAGACCTGGCGTTTGCCTACATCTTTTTTCCCTTCCATCTCTTTGGCTAGGACGATCCTGTCTTGCTGCAAGGGATACAGGGTGGGACGCTAAAAATCAGGGGTGTTACTACCCAGACAAAGATTCCCAAACTTATTTGGCCTAGAGCCCCCTTTTCACACCAGTGAAAACCTTTTGTGCTAGGATAAAGGATAGGATAAAGTGTAGGTATTTGCTTTCACAGCCCCCTGGATCATCCCAGCGTCCCCCAGGGGGCAGTATCCACCCACTTTGGAGAGACTGTACAGGTGCTGGATGAGGGTGGGGGCGGGGGCCGGCACGGACAGCAGAGGCCAGTCTAACGCTCAGCACGAAGCAGCGCACTGACAAAATCTGAATGGCGTAGCGTGAGTGCCTGGATTCAGCTGTGGCTTTTCCACTGAGGTGACCCGTTCGTTTTTCCCTTTCGCACAAGCCTCTTAGAATGGGGGTCTTGCCCCCTCCCAACAGAGAGGCTTGAGCCACATGTGAGATGTGGGGCCCTGGTTGAGGCCCTCCTGGAGCTGGCCTGAGTCCCTCAGTGGGGTGAGGAGCAGGTCAGCTTGGCTGCAGTTGGCCTGATCTCTTGCTTCATCTCTGGCTTCTCTTTCCTCTTCCGACCTCTGGGCTGATGCTCCCCCCTCCCATGGACTCAGAGGCCACGATGGATGGACTCAGGCTCATGGTCACCTCCCCCAAGGGAATTCCATGTCCTCCCTCTCCCACGTCCACGGCCAACAAGAGGCATATCAGCATCTCTGGCATCAAGCATGCCTCACCCACTCTTAGTGCATGTGTGTGCGTGTGCGTGCGTGAGTGTATGCGTGCGTGTGCGTGAGCAAGTGTGTGCGTGCGTGTGAGCATGTGTGTGCACGTGTGTGCGCATGTCTGTGTGAGTGTGTGTGTATGAGCCTGATGAAGAGGCACCGTGAGGCACAGGTGCAGAACACACAAGGTTGCCATTTCTTCACTTTGCTCACTGTTTGCATCGGCCTTGGTCAGTCCTGCGGGAGAAAGACAGGTTCTCCCCTGCTGTACCGAGTTCCCGTCTGGGAGACTCACAGGGGCAGTTCTGCCCTGTCCTAGAGGGTCACTGTGAGTCAGGATTGATTCGGTGGCAGTTGAGTTCGGTTTTCCCATTTGGTCGCTTCTGATTTGTCTCCAAGAATTATCAGAGCTCCCTCGGAAGGGGTCCAATCCCCCACGACCCTACACACTTCCATGTTTATAGGTAGAGCTCACCAGCCAGCCCTCCAGGGGGCTGATGTACTTGAAACAAAGACCCAGGATCAGGAGGGTCAGGGAGGTGGGGTCCAAGGGACTACAGTTGGTAGAGGGCAGGGTTCCTGGGGTACAGAGCAGCACAGCACCTGCTACTGGAGGATGAGGGTTTGCAGGGAGAAGAGCCGTCTGCCTCCGTGGTGAGGTACGCTGGTCTCCCTGTACCCAGGAGTCAGTGTCTTGGTGGGTGGGGAGGGCCGCCTCAAGTCGGGGAAGGAGAGGGTGGATGCCGAGCTCCCTCCTTCTGCCGAAGCAAGAAGTCTCCAGAGGCTGCAGGACTCATGGCATAGAAGACGTTGGCATTGTCAGGAATCAGGAGCTCTGGCCAGGGGTGGGGATGATGCTGAGAGGCTTGGACAGCCTTGTGCCCCAACCACCACCCCCATAAGGGCCCCGGGTTACTTGCTGCCGGACACCCCAGGGGCCTCCCCAGTTTGGGGCTCTCTAGCCAGTGTCCAGGCAACTTCTTGCTGCTCTCACCGTGAGTGAGTCTGCACAACCTCTCAAGCCACACCCTCCCACTGAAGCCCAGCAAACCCTCAGCTAGCCCTTCCCAATGCCAGCCATTCTCAGGCGATGCCTTTCTGCACGAGTAGTAGGCAACCTACTGCCTCTCCCTCTCAAGGACTGGGCTGCCTCCTTTCCCACCTCCTTCCCCCCAGACCACCTCCTCCTCTTTTCCCTTAAATTCTCAAACCACGGGGCCCTCTTCCACCCCAAGTCCAGATAACTTGAGGGACCCCCCCAGGCTGAGCCCAGACAAACTCATCTGCTCACAATTGCAAACCCAGTCTCCTGTCAGCCTCCTGCCCCTCTAGACAAAGCTTGAGCCACCTGAGACGGCCCTGAACTGTAAGACAACCTCCTACCTCCTCTCTGTTCGCTTGGGTACTGGACAATCTCTTTTCTTCATCATTCCTAAAAGGACAGCTTTGGATGGGCCCCTCTTGGCCTTCAGGGGCCTCAGTGGGTGGTGCAGTGGTTACGTGCTTGGTTGCTATCTAAGCAGTTGGCAAGCCCACCAATCGCTCCAGCGGCTAGAGATGTGGCAATCTGCCAAGCCAACAGCCTGGGAAACCCAGTGGGGCAGTGCTCTGCCCAGTAGGGGTGCTAGGCATTAGGATCGACCTGATAGTGAAGGGTAAGGTGGGGTTCGGGGTGTCTTTACAAAGAGCCTGGGCAAGCTCCCAACCCCCAACCAAACTCACAGTCCGTGCCAACCCACGAGAACCCTACAGGGCAGGGCAAAATGCTCCCTGTGGGTTTTCGAGACGGGAACTCTTTCAGGAACCAGAAAGCCCCGTCTTTCTCCTGAGGAATAGTTGGTGGTTTTGAACCGCCGACCTTGAGGATCACAGCCCCCAGTTCGTCACCACGACACCACCGGAGCTCCTTGAGCAATCCCAGAGCTGTCCGTAATTGAAACATAGCCATGGTATGGCTTTTTACCCCAGGTCACCTTATCCTTCCGCTGAGCCTAGACCACCTGGTGTTCCAGCCTAAGCCCCCCAAGCCTGCTGACCTCGCAGCCAGCCCCGAGCCTGGGCTGTAAGCTGTCTCTGCTCACCCCTGTCTCCAGGAAGGACCTGGAGGAGCTGGTAGTCTCGGGCCCAGGGCTGGGCCACATTGTGCTTCTGCAAGGCTCGCTGCACCACGCTGGGGGCCTTGTCCTGACTAGTGAGCTGAGAAGGCAGGGACGGGAGGTGCGCTGTGAGAACCCAACCACAAAGCAGGGCTGCCGCCTCCCTCCCCAAAGTCTTCTCCTCCAGGCCCCTCACCAAGATGCTCCGATACAGGTTTCCATGGTCATTGTTGATGCTGACTCGGATGACTCGGGCCTCGCAGCCTTGCTGCCCGGCTGCAGGGATGTGGGGGCCACTCAGGGACAGGCCGAGGGGCCTGGAGCCTGGCAGATCTGGACTCGGGGGCAGCTGCAGGCAGTGGGCATGGGCGGGGTAGAGAGAGATGCTTCAGCCTGGCCAGCGGCCAACACTGAGGAGGGGGGAACAGGCAGTTCCTTCCCATCCTGATGGGTTTGACCATCCCGTGTACACAAAGGTCAGGCGACCCCCTGCCCACTGAAAGCCCGAGACTCATAATCAGTGCACCCGACAAGCCCACAGACCTTGGTTCTCGGATACCCCAAAACGTACACACGACCAATACACACACACACACACACACACACACACACACATGGAACGCTATGTCCAGAGGAAGTAATGCCACACGGCTCACAATGACTGTCCACGCACAGACTCAGTCTGTCGGTCTCTGGGCGCACATCCCCCTCTTTAGAGATGCAGATGCTGCGGGACAGGCGCTCGCTCACAGGGCCACCAAGCCCATGCCTACTCTAAACCACCCTACAGGATGGTAGAACTGTCCCTGCGGGTTTCTGAGCCTGGAACGCCTGCTGGGAGCAATAAGGCCTCGTCGCTCCCGTGGAACGGCTGGTGGCTTCTAACCGCCAATTCTGTTGCAATCACTCCATCGCTACCTGCCCTGTGCCGGGGGTGCGGGCACCCTGTGTGAAAGTCTGAGCCCACAGGCTCAGAGTGCTTTGTGGGCCAAGGATGCACAGCTTCTGAGCACAGTGATGCTGCCCGCAAGAGGGCCACGGAGAAACACACGGTCCAAGGCGTCCAGCCAGGCGCTGAGGCCACCCGGGCCCTCCCTCCTCCGCACACACAGTCCTGGGCCCCCACACTCCCATTTGTACACACAGGCAGTTGGTACCTTGGTGCTAGGGCCTTGGGGCCCTGGAGAGGCTGGGGGACTGCTAGGAGGAGGGTCTTTGGTTCTAGGGCTGGGTGGAGGGGACCCTGGAGACAGACTGGGGCAGATGCAAAGCCGGAGGTCGGTGGCTGGCCCGGCTCTATTGTCTCCTGTCCTTCCCACCAGTGAGATCATTACCTGGACGTGGGGGACGTGGGGGATGAGGAGTCCCCAGGGCTCCCACCAGGGGATGAGCCTCTCTCACGGGACAGCTTCCTGAGAAGCAGGACAGGGGACAAGACTGGGGTCAGACTCAGCCCAGGAGCAGTCCCCGAACACCTGTGCCCTCATCACCCCAGTACCCCGAGACTCACGCACTGAGGCGCTTGGTGAGGCTGATATGCCGGCGGATGCGTGGGGAGCTGGGGCAGGAGGCAGCGGGCGGTTCGATGACCCGGGAGATGCGGTAGCTGAGAGGGGAGGGGGAGGGGGAGGGGAGCGGGGAGCAGCAGGGGTGGAGCTTTAGAATCAGGAGTTGGATTTGGAGGCATCAGCTGTCAGGGTCAGGGGTTAAATGGGGACGACTGCTGAAGGCCAGGGATGGGATGGGCAAGGATGGCTTTGTTTGAGGGCCACCTGGGACCCAAATTGGCATCAAATTGGGTCCCAGGTCAGGGAATCCCCGAGGTTGATGTAAGAGAGAGAGTTGAGTTGGATGGACAGATGAGCCAGGTGGGGAGGCAGGGGCCTAGGGAGCCATGGACAGAACATGGTCAGAAGCTGAGGAAGGGGCAGATGGGTCTCCAAGGTTGAAATCACACAGTCTGATGGGGTCAAAGTTCAGGGTGAGAGGTTGTCTGGGGTCGTGACAACAGAAGGTGACGGCTTGGGGAGAGAGACTCAGGAGAGGGTCTCAGAAGGACTTAGGGAGGGGCACACGGTAGGCAGGGTGGAGTAGGAGGTTCAGAGGCGGCCGGGGTGAGGTGGCACGGCTGGGCAGGGCCGGCCCCAGTGGTCACCTCTGCTCCTCGCTGAGCTGGCGCTGGGCACGCAGGGCAGCCAGGATGGGCAGGCAGGGGCTCAGGCAGTAGCTCTGACAGCGTCTCTGTAGCTGCTGGATTCGGGCCAGGATCTCCCACTCCTGAGAGGGCAGACTCTGAGACCCGCCCCGCCCCGCTCTGCCCCCCACCCTCAGCACCCCTGCACTCCTAGCCCTGTGCCTACTCACCTTCCTCCTCTTCTCAAAGTTGATGAGGTCCCCCTGGGCATTAGACAAAGTAGGTAGGAACTAGAGACCCCAGGGTCAGGGAGTCAGGGTCAGGGTCAGGATGAGGGGCTGGGATATCAGGAGGCAAGGGGCCTGGGGGTCAAGTGGCAAGAGTCAGGGGTCAGACCTCCAGCATGTCCGGTAGGGCAGTGTCCAGCATGACCAGATCCGTGAGGAAGGTGCCAAGGTAGGGGACAGGGCCTGGGGGCGGCTTCTGCAACCCCCAGGGCTCCAGTCACTCAGCATTCAGTGGCCCTCCCCCCCCCTCCCCCATCCCAACCTCATCACTCACAGAGGACAGGCTTCCTGGGGGGGTGTCTTTCTCTTGGAGGCCCTCAGAGGCCTCCTCCTGCGAGGGGAGAGAGGTGTCCTTCAATGCCTCCCCCAGGGCAGAGCCTGGAGACCCACCACACACACCCATTTTGCTTTCCACAATCCCACGCCTGTTATAGAGGCCAAGCCCAGGGAACTGGGCCACCCTGGGGAGAGGTGGCCACGGGGAGTCAGAGAGCAGGTAAGCAGCAGTGGACAGGTCCCGTTGGCTGGAGGATGATGGGAGGTGGGGCTCCTGGGGCCAGGAGGAGAAGGAGTCCTGTCTTGGCCTGGATGGAGCAGGGGCAGGGATCCATGCTGGAAACACCCTGAATGCCTGGTCATGACAGAATTTCTGGGGCAGCTGTCAGTGGCAAAATGGGTTATGCACTGGGCTGCTAACCACAAGGTCAACCGTTCAAACCCAGGAGAGGAAGATGAGGATCTCTGTTCTCTCCTGCAAAGATTCACAGGCTCAGAAACCCCTCTGTGGGCCAGGTTGGTACCACGAGGAATACTACGAGGAGTCAGAATAGACTCCTCCAGACACCAGGCCTGGCACACAGTAGGTGCCTGGTACTGGGGCTCCTTGGGATCAGATACAGACATTTCCTATGGCCTAGGTACCAATTCTGGGAGAATCAAGCAGACGCTGACCCCAGCCTCCCGGAGTGGACGGCCGTGCAGGAGGCACAGAGCCAGGACATGCCACAGTGCACAGACATACGGGCACTGGCAGGGTGGGGTGGAGATGGTGCCAGCCGATAAGGATCTCTTTGAGATGGCGCCCCAGCCAAGCTCACTGCACCATCGAGTCGTTTCTGACTCATAAAGGCCCCACAGGGCAGGATGGAACTTCCCCCGTGGGTTTCTAGGACTGGTGTCCTTTCCGGGACTGGAGAGCCACCGATGGCTTCGAACTGCTGACCTTGTGGTTCGAAGCCCCCTGTGCCACCACTCTGCCACCAGGGCTCCTGCCAAGTGGATAGTCATGGCAATTACAACCTAATGTCTCATGGACACCACACGAGCCTTGTTTGGCACACCTTTCGTGGCTTTCCTATCAAGGGTCATGTTCCCGACATAGTTCTTTCTCTCCCTACGATTTGCTATGGCTCCTGTCTGCAGTGCCTGCTCCCTGGCGAGGCCTGGTATATGTTGAATAAATAAACAAGGAGGAGTTTCTAATGGGGGCAGCAAAGGAGGGGGGCAGGGAGGACGGCCCACGGACAAAGGAAAGGTCACTCCCGACATCAAGAAAGCACAAGATGTTATGACCACCACAAGCTGCCTGCCCTGGCCGGCCCTGGGCCCTCCAAGCCTCTTTACCTGAGATAGCATCTCTCTGCTGCTCAGGTGGTTGTTTTCGTCGGAGAATATCTGCGACAGTTTCCTGAAAGTGGATAAAGGTTCCCTGGGGTGCCAGAGAGAGGTGCGCGGGTCAGAGGCTGAGAGGGACACTGGTCCCAGTCCAGTGAGCCCCCACCCCGGACCCTGCTCACCGGCTCACGGCACCCCAACTGCGCTTGAGCCTGTAGATGGGGTTGGATTGCAGGGCGGACAGGATGGCTCGCAGGGAGGAGAAGTTCCGCAGTTCACGGCAACACTGGGAGATCAAGTGCAGGCACTGGTGGGGTCCTGTGTCTGTTTTGCCCTCTCGCCCGCCCCCCGCCCCCACCCCAGACCCATCTTGGACCTGGACTTCTGAGGTCTAAGCCTTCCTCTCAAGCCCCTTCCCCTCACAGCATGGCTCCAAGGGCCAGACCCTCCTCCCTGAACCCAAGACTCCTCCGGGTATCAACCTTCTCCCAGGCTCTCTCCTTCCCTTGGCCCTCTCCCATCCAGCCCACCCTCTGCAGCACCCCCACGACTCCCCATTTCTGCCTCTTCCTTCCAGCTCCAGGGCCCCCAGTGGCTCTCTATCCGCTTTCTTTCCCTAGCCACCCCTCTCAGCCCTTCTACGGTTCCCAGCAACCCTCCTGCGATCCCTCTTCCTGGACCCCTGTCCTCCACTGCCCGCAGCCCACCCTGACCTGGGCGATGCGGATCCACTTCTCCAGCCGCAGCGCCCGCTGGGGGGCGGCCAGGCCCGACGCCCCGAGAACCGAACCCAGCACGCAGCCGGTCACCGTGTTGAACTGGGCCACCGTGGCGCGCACAGTCGGGGAGGTGCCCGCGGCCCCAGGCCGGTCCCGCTGCGACCACACGGAGCCCAGGCATTCGCAGGGCCGGAAGGGGGAGCAGAGCTCAGTGGGGGGCCCGACGGGGTAGGGGTGGGGAGGAGTGAGGGCAAGGGCGAGGTTCCTCACCACATCCATCAGGGTCAACTGCTCGGCCACCTCATCCACGCTGAAGTCCAGGAGCTCCGGGCCTTCGGGCATCGCTTCTTCCTCCTCTTCCCCGCTGCCTTCCTGGAGGTCTGGGTCTGGGTTCTGGGCACCTCCGGGGGGTCCTTAGGAAGCAGGAGGGGGTGGAGGGAGCCCTCAGGAGCCCTGGGGACGTGGGCCCTTGGAACCCACCCTGAGGCTCCGCGGAGCAAAGGCCTGGCGATGGGCTTCCATGAAAGATGGGCAGCCGAGAAAACTCTATGTGGCAACGCTACTCTGGCACGTGCAAAACCGGCAGGCTTGGATCTGGGGAGGTTAACAGTGACTTTCACCTTCACTGAGCACCTAGCCGGGTCACCGGGTCACCAACAGAGATAGTATATACATCGTAATCTCGGAGCGCTGACAGGTAGGGGACAATTGCCCTGGGTCACACTTCAGTCACTAACAGGTAAAAAGCTGGTCTGAAACCAGAGGATGGTAAAAGGGTTCATGAGGGCCAGAGTTAAAAAAGAAATCAGGCTTGTTGATCCCTAGCCTGTTTTCGGATGCACTCCATCTGCCCTCCTCTTTCTGACCAACAAAACAAAACAAAACAGTAAAAACCCCAAACACACTGCCATCAAGTGGATGCTGACTCACAGTGACCCCATAGGTAGAACTGCCCCTGTGAGATTCTGAGGCAAATGGTTGACTTTTTCTCCTGCTGAGCCGCTGGGGTTGCAAATTGCTGCCCTTCCGAAACTTGTAACCCCTACACCACCGCCACCGGGGCTCCTTTCTGAAGAAGTGATAAACCTTGGTAGCTAAGGTCAGATTGTCGTCAGCCCCAAGTCCAAATCATGGCTTGTCCACGCAGCTTGCTGTGCTACCGAAAGCACCCCTTTTACCTCCTGGGGTCTTCATCTTATTTACTTATTGAAATTGAAATTGATCGTGCATATCAAACTGCTGTGAAGGCGTCTACTCGGATGATGGTTTAAATTCTCGGAATCCTGAGGGAGCAGCTCCACCCTGTCCCGTAGGGTGGCTGCGGATCAGAATCAGCGGAATGGCATTGAAAGGGTGGCGTCCCCTCGGGGACATTTTGGAAGGGATCCATATTTGTGCCCATCCCAAAGAAAGGTGACCCAACGGAACGCTCAAATGACAGACCGGTATCGTTGACATCGCAGGTAAGGAAAACGTTGCTGAAGATCACCCAGCAACTGTTACAGCAGTACATTGACGGGGAACTGTCAGATTCAGAAAAGGATGTGGATCAAGGGAAATCATTGCTCACGTCAGATGGATCTCGGCTGAGAGCAGAATACCAGAAAGATGTTTACTTGTTTTATTGACTGTGCCAAGGCATCCGACGGGGTGGATCATAGCAAACTATGGACAGCCTTGAGAAGAATGGGAATTCCAGAACACTTCATTGTGCTCCTACAGAACTTGCACATGGATCAAGAGGCAGTTGTGTGATCAGAGCAAGGGAATGCTGCATGGTTTTTAATCAGGAAAGGTGAGTGTCAGGGTTGTATCTACTCACCATACTTCAACCCGCGAATCATCAGAGAAGCTGGCTTGTATGAAGAATGTGGCGTCAGGGTTAGAGGAAGGCTTGTTAATAACGTGAGGTATGCAGGTGACACGACCTTGCTTACTTAAAGGGAGGAGAACTTGAAAAACCTGCTGATGATGACCAAGGACTGCAGTCTTCAGTATGGATTACAACTCGTTGTCAGGAAGACCAAACTCCTCACATCTGGACCAATAGCTAACAGCACGATCAAGGGAGAAGAGGGTGACGTTGTCAAGGATTTTGTCTTGCTCGGACCCACAACAGATGCTCGAAGAAGCAGCAACCAAGAGATCAAAAGACGAGTTACGTTAGGTAATTCTGCTGCACAAGACCTCTTGGGAGTATTGAAAAGCAGGGATGTTACCTGGAAGACTAAGGTGTACCTGACCCAAGCCATGGTATTTTCCTCTGCCTCATAGGCGTGTGAGAGTTGGACAGTGAATCGGGAAGACCATAGAAAAATTGATGCATCTGAATTGTGGTGCAGAAGAATATTGAAAGTATCACGGACTGCTAAAAAGACAAACCAATCTATCTTGGAAGAAGTACAGTCAGAGTACCCCTTAGGGGCAAGGATGGCAAGACGTTGTCTTAGATACTTTGGACATACTGTCAAGAGAGGCCAGACCCTGGAGGACATCATGCTGGGTCAAGTGGAGGGGCAGCAAAAAAGAGTGAGGCCCTCACGGAGACGGGTGGACACTGGCTGCAACAACGGGCTCAGGCCTAGGAACCATTGTGAGGATGGCGCAGGGCTCTGTGGTGTTTTGTTCTGTTGTGCAGAGGGTCTCTGGGGTGGAACTGACTGGACAACACCTCGCAGCAACAGGTCTGGTTTGGGCTGTCCCAAGATGAAGGAATGCTGGGAACTCTAGCTTTGGGGAAACGAGACTAGTCACCAACCCTCAAATGTCCCTCCAGACGGTCACGTCATTAGAAAACCTTTTTACAATCACTTGCACCTGGACTTTGACTCACTCTCAGTGCTATTGAGTCAAGACTGACTCATCCCAGCCCTGAGGACAGGGTAGAACTGCCCCTGCGAGTCTTCAAGACTGTTAACTGCTGATGAGAGAAGAAAGCCTCGTCTTTCTCACGAGGAGCGGAGCGGCGTGGGGTTTCTAACCGCGGGTCTTGAGGACTGCATCCCAACTCATAACCACGCCGCCGCCAGGGCTCCCGAGCACTTGATTAGCTTCATCCAAAAATACAAACCAGGAAAGCATGTTGCTCTGTATTCAGGAGTGTTGGTCACTATATATATACTGGAAAGCAATGTCACCGGCCTCTTTGCTTCTGTGTCTGAGCTTTTGCTGCTCACCCTTGTACTGGTTAGCATTTGTGGGTGCCACGGTGGGTGTCAGGCTATGACAAGCAAGGGCACTGGATCCAATTCAGCGTGTCTCCTAGAGGCATGCCCAAGCAGTAACATATCAAAAAGCACAGTTTAATCGCTTCTCAGACTTTTGGCTAAGATCAAGTGTAGTAACTTCTTATCAGTTTAATATCTGATACATCCTCTATGGGAGGACAACATATTAAATGGATTTTTGGAGCAGGGAGATGGAATAGGAGCTTGCTCCGTCCATTCCACGCATTGACCTGGTATTGCAGTACTTTCAGGAACGGTGCACCCCCTCGGGGGAAACATTTCACTAAAAAATAAATAAATACAAAAAGCACAGTTTACTGTCGTGTAAATGATTTTCCTTTTCCAGTTGTGGTCTTATCTTGTTATTCCTTTTTAAAACATTTTTTAAAATATCGTAAACTCGGTAGGGACCACATTATATTTCAACTGATCTTTTAAAGGATCTTTCATTTCCAATTAGGATAGGTAGCACTGCAAAAATGTGCGCTTTTAAAATACATATATTAAAAAACTTTTATCAAAAGATCATTTTTTTGGGGGGGAGATCATTTTATTGGGGGCTCTTACAACTCTTATATCAATCCACACATCAATTGTATCGAGTCTATTGGTACATTTTTTTCCTTTTCTTTAAAAAGGGGGTTATGGAAAAAAACCAGGCACCCAAATATCTAATCAAAACTTTAGATCTTACAGCAAAGATGGGGGATAAAGGACCAATGGCATGACCCCACGAGGAAGCAAACAGGCCAATTCAGAATGTGGGACATTCCTTGCAACAAATGATCCATTTTTAAAAAATAATGGCATTAAACAAAAACATGAGGGAATGTTGAAGAATAAGAGAGTGACTAGCCAAACAGCCAGATGCCTTGAGTGGATCGTCTTTGGACCCTGATTTGAAGAGATAACTGTCAAAAAGATATTTTTGAGACAACTGGGAGGTGGGGGTATTTGAAAATGGACTGGGTGTTTTGATGTTATGGAATTACTGATGTTAGAAATGCGAGTTCTCTCAAACACACACCCAAAAAGTCCCTTGTCAGTGATGTTTGGGATTTACTTTTAAATCTTCCAGGAATACAGAAAAAAAAAAGGTCAATTTGACCATGGTTGAAGATGGATGAGGGTTGCTGTGGGTGCACTATTCTGGTTTGGTAGGTTTGAAATTTTCTGTACCCAAAAGCCAACCCAAACGATAAGACATTTTAAGAACAGCTCCTGCGTCCCAGGAGCTGACACACAGTAGGCATTCAATCTCTGTTTATTTGCTCCTTTGACCTCCAAGAACTCAAGAGCCTAGGCCAGCATTTTCACTAGAAGTTTCTAAGGTTGTGATTCTCAACCTTCCTAATGCTGTGACCCTTTAATACAGTTCCTCATGTTGTGGTGACCCTCCCCCAACCATAAAATTATTGTCTTTGCTACTTCATCACTATCATTTTGTTACTGTGAGGAATCGGGCAACCCCTGTGAAAGGGTCGTTCGATCGCCAGGTTGAGAACCGCTGTTTTAAGGTGAAGGACATGTCTGATCTGTGCTGTCCTATCTGGTTGTCGGCAGCAATATCATGGCGCCTGAGCACGGGTGCAGGGAGCCCTGGTGGCACAGAGGAATATGTGTTGGGCTGCTAACCACAAGGTCAGCAGTTGGAAACCACCAGCCATTCTGTAGGAGAAAGATGAGGCTTACTCTCATACAGATTCACAATCTTGGAAACCCACAGGGGCAGTTCCACTCTCTTCTATGGAGTCACTGTGAGCCAATTAAATTGGATGGGCAGTGAGTGAGCACTGACGTGACTGAGGAACTGAGATTTTTATCACTATATCGTTTTTTTTGTTAATTTCCATTGCATTTAAGAGTCCTGTGGGGCTCCTGGCTAGTGCTACTGGACTCTTAGTTTCTAATGACTTGGAATACACTGGCGACATCTGGAAGGGATGGGGAGAAAGATGCTGGGTAACTAGGAGAGGAGAAGGGTGGGTACAAATGTAAAAATAGTGAGGCACTGTCAACAAGAATTAGGAAGAGGCCGGTGCTTTGTACAACGGAGAGGCGTGTGGCCAATTTCTGAGGATTAACGGATAAGGATTAGGAATCTAGAAGCTCTGGTAATAAGGATCAGATCAAACACAGATGGGTCTGAGATGATACCTGATAAGCCGTGGGCACCAAAAGGGCCGATTCCTGAGCCAGGAGGCAATTATTCAGTCAACCACACTAAGTGGCGACAAGGAGGGTTCGGTCCTGTTCTCTGAAGTTTGCTATGATCTACCCAGCAAAAGCCAGAACAGAAGCAAGGAAAGAGAGCTGATGCTGAAATATGCGGCAGGGAGAGAGGACACGGAGCGTGGGGTGCTTTTTGTTGAGGGGGTCAGGAAAGGCTTCTCTGACCCTTGAACAGATGGCATTTGAACAAAGTACCAGGAGGGACTTCAAACAGTTCCTGGAAAAATGGCATTCTCTTTCAAATCCAGTCTCCCATGAACTTTTTGAAGATCCCTTGTATGTGACTACACCTTCATCCCCAAAGCGCTCAGCAACCGGGGCAGCAAGCCCTCCTGTAAAGGGCCAGATCCCTTCTTCACACCTACAATGAGTCAAGCTTCCTGTATGTATTTCATTAGTAGACCCAAACCAAACTCACTGCCATCTATTCAATGCTGACTCTTAGCAACCCTATGGGACAGAATAGAACTGCCCCTGGGGGTTTCTGAGACTGTAACTGTTTATGAGAGTAGAAAGCCTTGTCTTCTTTCCATGAGTTAACCTGTTGATCTTGCGGTTTGCAGGCCAACAGGTAACCCACCAGACCCGGGCTCCTTCTCATTCATTGCTGTGGAGTGAATTCCAACTCACCGTGACCCTGTTAGGCAAGGGAGAGCTGCTCCCGTGGGTTTCCGAGAATGTTACTATGAGAGTAGAAAGCCTCATCGTTCTCCCATGGAGCAGCTGGTGGTTTTGAATGGCTGCCCTTGTGATTAGCAGCTCAACAGATAGCCAGAGATAACAACAAGAAAAATACTATTTGCCAAGATACCTTACTATGAATTTACTGCATCAAGCTTCTGACTGCTTATTTACTTGTTTGCTGACCTTCGCTCTCAGGGTCGTGTCCTGTCCATCACTGTGTGCCCAGAGTCAGTAGCTAAATATTTGCTGAATGAAAGAAGAATCCGATGGACAAAGTTCTGTTATCATCCCGACTTTACATATGAGGAAACTGAGATGGGACAAGGTCACACAGCCAGGAGGCGTCAAAGCTAAGATTTGAACACAGGTCCTTGTGTCCCCAAGTGGGAATGGAATGGAATGGTTTGTAGCTAGAAGCCCGGGACATCTGGCCTGATGGTGGAGCGACTTTGTAGTTAGGATGGGGGTGTGTACTAGACAAACAGGAGTTATTATTCCATTTTACAACTAGGGAAACTGAGGCTCCACAGACCTGAGGACTGGCCTGGAGCTATGAAAGGGTAGAGAAGGCCCCTGAAGCGTAGAGCGCTCCCCAGTCCCGGAAGGCCCTCCACCCTCACCTGCCCCTAAGTCTGACTTCTCCTCTTCTCCCTGCTCCAATTCCGCTTCCTTCAGGAAATCTCCCAGCAGCCTCTTTGCTTCTTTGACTTCAGCTCCCTCTGGGGCTGCCCAGCCCAGAAAGGTGCAGATGATGCCCAGGTCGGAGTGAGCAGGGGGGTCTCGGAAGTCCTGAGGGTGGTCCCGAAGCCAGGAGCCCAGCACAGACACCACAGCCCTGCCAAGAACGGTGGGGCCGCAGAACCCTGAGCTTCGGACTTCAGATCCCTTTACTGGCCAGTCTAGATTTTCAGGTTGACCTTTGCCCTCCAGGACCCCCAGTGGAGGACCAACCTCAGGTTCTTGTTGAAGTTCGGAGCTTGTCCCTCCTTCTTGATCTCTACCCTAGGAAGAGCGGTTTCGACCAGGGTCGGAGAAGAGGGGGTGAGAAGAGGGTTATGAAGGGGAGTGGGGTCTGCGGTTAGTGTGGGGAAGGGTCCTGGTTTAAAACTCGAAGGGGGCTATGCCCAGGTGGGGATCTGGGGCTGGGGACGTGGTGGCCCGCGTAGATACTGACCCCGACGGCAGTGGCGGCGGTGGCGGTGGGAGCAGAAGGCCCAGCACGCGGGCAGTGGGCACAAAGGCCCGGTGCGTGGCCAGAAAGGCGGGCACGAACCCAGGGTCCTGCTCAGGGTCTCCGGACACCAGCTCGTGCACGAGCCGCTCCAGCCGCGCCGCCCGGAGCGCTCGCACCTTGCTCGTGCGGTAATGGAGAAAGGCCGCGGCCGCGGTGCTGGGGGCCTGAGGGGCGAGAAGGCAGAGGGAGACGCCGGCGGGGGCGTAGCTCCTCCGGGCACCCTCCGCAAGCCCCGCCTGGCCCCTGATCCCAACGCTTCCTCCTGGCGCTCCAGGACTTACAGCTCTGGCCCTGTCCACCAAAGATCCCCCCACCTCCCACCCCGCCCCGGCACCCTGGCCCACTCGGCTGTCTGCGGCCACTTTCCCAGGCCACCCCGATTCCCCAGGGCCTTCACAAACCCCGCCTTCTGCAGCCCCTAAACCCCACCCCGCCGTCGGGCTCCGCCCCCTCCCCCCCAAACCAGGCTGTCCCGGGCGCTGCCGTCCAGTTCCGCCCCAACCCGGTTGGTTATCCCCTGGTCCTGCTCCCTCTGCAACTAAGCCATCTGAGGGACACCCCCCCCCAGCCATGCTCCACCCCTCTCACCTGGCTGTCCTAGGCCTCTTTGTCCCCTGGCCTGGTCACCTTTATGCTCCACTCGCCTGCACCGCCCCCACCTCCCTAACTTCACCTGGGGGCTCCAGGCTCTGCGGTCACCGCCCCCCGCCCCGTCGCAGCTCCGCCTTCCCGGGCCACTGCACCCTCCCACCCCTTGCTCACCTCGCTGCCCCCTGGCCTCTCCCCCTGGCTCGCGCGCTGGCTGCGCTGCCGCCGCAGGGTGACGCTATACACCGCGCCGTCCTCGGTCTCCTCGCCCCAGACTTGCAGCGGCGCCTGGACGCGGAGGCGGGGTCAGGGCACCCAGGGAGACGGAGCCCGGGACTTCGGTGCCCTGTTGCTTGCGTGAACGCAGGCCCAGCCTTCCTGCGCAATCCCCCACTTCCAGCCCCAAAGTGCGGGACTTGGAGGAGGGTCCCTGGCTAGTCCTGAGGGCGTGGGTGGGCTTTGGGGACGTCCCAGGGTCCAGGCTCAAGGAGTCTGGCTCGGAGTTGCCCACCCCGTGCCCCAAAGTAACCGGTGCCAAAATGGTCACTCCCTAGAAGTTCCGAGGGGTTTGGGGGGTGGGGGTGGGCAGCGGTGGGAATGGGGGTGGGTGGGAATAGAGGCCTATGGAGAGGGGGCTTGAGTTCCTGGATCGCCAGGGAAGTGGGACTCCCAGATTCCTGGCCCCTTACCAGGGCGAGCTCCTTGCCCGCTGCTGAGCGATCCATGGCCCGTGCCCGTGCCCGTGCCGCTGCAGCCGACTGAAGCGGAAGGGCCAGTGGCCCAGGGCAGTGGCGGGGCCTCTCCAGCAGGACAGGGGCGGGGCGGCGGGACATCGCGGGGCGGGGCGGGGCAAGTGGGTCCGACCCACCACTCTGGTGGACTGGCCAGACCCCAGTGGCCAGGCCAGCCCAAATGGACCCTGACTCGGAGTTGTGTGTCAGTCTGTCCTCAGGAGAGAGGACACGTCTCTGTCTCAAGGAGAAATCTCCCCTGGGTCCCCGTGAGCAGGGGAGCTGATTTGCCTCAGGTGTGGAAGGAAGTTATCTCCCATCTTTGGTGGGGGCAGAAGGACTCAATCTGTATCGTCAGTTGATGGGGGTCCCTTCACTTCCCAGACAAGAGAAGACGGAGTGTGGCACCCAGTTTTGAGGGGGTGATGGCCCTGACTGGTGCTGGGTGAAACAGCCAGTCCTCTCAAGACTCATGGCCACCCGGTATGTAGGAGGAGAACCGTCCTCCCTGAGGTTTTCAAGGGCAGATTTTGGGGGGGAGTAGACGCCGGACCTCTTCTTCCAGAGAGTCTGTGGGTGCACCCAAGCCTCCTGCCTTTCAGTTGGCCAGCCAGTGACATTACGGGGTCAAGGAGAGAGAAATACCCAAGCGGCTGCTCAATGACCTTTATTGCGCAATTCCGAGGCTGCCTGCTCCGTCCGCCTGGGAAGATTTACTGTGGGAAGGTCACGCCAGGTCCCCTTCCCGCGCCTCCCGGCGGGCTCCATAACCAGGCCGGGCCGGTCCAGCCCTTGAAGGGCCCCGTGGGCCTGAGGCTGGGCCCCGAAGGAGGGCTCCGGGGCTCCGAAGGGGCTCTGAGGCGCCGGAGACTCAAGCACTGAACTAGGATCTCCGAGCACGGCTGCGCTTCTTGCTGCGGGATTCTATGAATTTCTGGGAACGCATCTTGAGCATTGCGCGAGTCACCGCGAGGTTGTCGTCATCCTCACTCTCCTCCTCGTCTGCGGGGACAGGGTGTGTGAGGGGAGAAGGGGCGGTCCTCTTTGGTAGGGGCGCCTCCTCCTCTGCTCCACCCGGTTTCCCAATCTTGGCCTCAGATCACGCCCTTGGGTACACCCCCCCTCCCCCGCCCAACGCTCGCCCCTTTTCCTGCGGGCACTGACCAAAGAACTTGTCCTTGGAGCTGGGGACTGGCAGGGAGATGCGGGTGTTGTAGACGGGCAGCTTTCCCTCTAAACTGGCGAAGAACTAGGTGCGGGGAGGCGGGAGAGAGGAGCGTGGGTGGGGCAGGGCTCCCCACCGCTCTCTGAAATATGTCTATATATTGAGACTACGGCTCAATTCCCGGTTTAAGTGCCCCGTCCCTTCCCCCACGCCCTCCCGGGCTAGCCGTGTCCCAGGTTCCCAGCGAGCACCTGATACCCAGTCCCACCCCCTCGCCCATCAGGCCCGCCCTTGGCCTCTGACGCCAGACCTCTCCCTTAGCTCCGCCCTCTGGCCTCTCGGGACCCGCTCTCAGCTCCCCTGGCTCCTCTGCATTTGTTGGGCTCACCCGGGGCTCCTCAGCCTCCTCCCCTCGTGTCCCGAGGGTCGCCCGCTACCCAGACTCCCTGGCGTCTTCGATCCAGCCCCTGCACCCTCAGCCCGGCCCTTGGGTCTCGGGGTCCCGCGCCCGGACGGCCTGGGCACCTCGCGATTGGCTATGTGTTCCAGCATCTCCGGCAAGTTGAGGCTCTCAAGCTGCGTTTGCAGCTTCAGCAGCTTCCCCTCCACCAAGCCCAGCAGGTCTAGCACGTAGCTGGTTTTTTTGGGGTCCAGCTCCTTGTCGGCGAAGCTGCTGCCCTCCTGCAAAAGAGCCGGGTTGGCACGGAGGCAGCGGGGCTTGGGGGGGGGGAGGGCTTTCCCTTGTGGGGCGGGGCTTCTGAAGTCTAGGGGCCCCCTCAGTGTGTGGGTGGAGCCTCGGAATTTCAAGGACCCTGGATTCGAGTGGGGGTAGAGGAAATGGGCAGGGAAGGCACTTGGCCGGTTCTTGGGTCACTCTTGGAAGTGGGCGGGATCTCTGAGATTTGGGACCGGGGCTGGCTCGAGAGTGGGTGGGGGTTCCCAGGCCCCAGCCGCTGGAAGGGGAGGGCGGGGCCTACCGCGCTGACGTAGTGCAGCTTGCTCGCCAGGTGCTCGAGGCCCGCCTGGGCCACCTCCAGCGCCCGCACGCAGCGCTCCAGCTGTCCATGTGCCTCGTTGCGCCGCTCCTCCTCGGCCTTCAGTCGCTGCTGCAGCTCGTCGAGCTGCTTCTGCTCGCTGCAGGGCGCAAGACAGGCCGCCGTGGGAGCGCACCGACGCGTGCGCCCCACGCCTTCCTTCGTGGCCCGCGGCCTCACCTCACCACCGTGGTCTCCCCGGAGTACTTGAGCAGCTCCAGTTCCTGCTGCAGCCGCTGCTTCTCCTGCTTCTGCTTCACCAGCGTCTCCTCATTCTCCTTCTTGAGGGCCTCCAACTGCGTGAAGGTGTCGCCCTGGGCCAGGAACCGCCGCACCACTGACTGGGGGCAGGGGGAAAGGGGGACGGCAGTTAACCCGCAGTTAGAGCCGGGTGGGGGGGGGGGCTCTGGGGCTCACAAGATAGATGACCCAACCTCTCACGGCCACCTGGGGCTGCGGGAGACAGACGGCGCAGCCCTGAGCTCCAGGCCTGTGCTTGTCTGTCTGGAGAATGAGAATTCCCCGCAAACCAGCAAGCAGAGACATGTTTGTGCAGTAAGCAGAGCTGCCTGTCAAAACCGAAGGCCCATCACTTTCTGACGGCCCATCCCACCTCGTCCTCCAGACACCTCGCCAGCCGGCAGGAGCTACCTGCTCACCTGGTCTCCCTTCTGGAAAGGGGTCTAGCCAGGTGTCCCAAGATGGGCCCAGAGTCACCTCAGAGGAGGTGCCCATGCTGTAGCTTGGAGGGGTCACAGAGGAAAGAAAATGCGCCCAGAGTTCATGCGGACATCAGTGTCGGCTGGCCAGAACCAAGCGCCGGAAGGGGACTTTGGAAGTTTCAGAAGATGCTTCCTTGCCGGGGACCTTGGGCTGGGGTCCTGCTTGTCCAGTCTAAGAGTGGTGCCAGCTGCCTACTGTGGGTTAGACCACGTCACAGACGCTGGCGACACAGAGGACAGAGACAGACAGAGCCTCCAGGCTCTGGCCTGTCTGATCCATCGTGAGAGAACAAGGCGGAAGGTGTGCGTCAGGGCAGACAACCATAGCGGGGTTTGCTTCAAAGGGCAGCAGAGAAGGAGGCGCTAGCTGCAAGGTGTGGGGGCCTCCTCTTATGCTGAGGAATGGATGCAGCGGGGAGGGGAAGCAGGTGAGTTCCCTGTAGAGACACCCAACCTCCTGGCCTGGGCCCCCGGAGCTAGGTCTGGGCAGGCTGGGCTGCGGGCAGCACTCACATGGGTGTCCCCGACGCCAGTGGCGTCCCTGACTTTGCCGAAGATAATCTCCAGCTGGTACATGCCCCAGCGTTGCCGCAGCTCCTCCTCCTTGGCTCGCAGGTTGTCCTGGATCCTGTCCTCAGAATGCAGCAGCATGTGCTCACGCTGAGTCTGCTGGGGTTGTGGGAGGGGGTGGGGGGTGGGGGAGAGTCAGCGTAGAGGCTGGGGCAGGGTATCCCAAGGGAGCCCGGGAGAGGGTGTGATGGTAAGCAGGAAAGGTACCCGGGCCAGAGTCGGACCTGCGGGGCAGGTTGGGGGACAGCAGATGAGCAAGGGGAGGTGGGGGCTGGGGCTGGGTCTGCAGGGGCCAGGGCAAGTGGAGGCAGAGACCCCTGGAGGTAGGTGGCTGGAGAAGGGGTATATGGGGATAGATATGGAGGGTTGCCAGCAAAATGAGGCATGGAGGGGCGTGGCAAGACTGGAAGGGGCGTGCTTCCAAGGCGGTTGGAGTGGGGAGTGGATTCAGACCGGCCAGGGCAGGACAGGGTCGGCGGAAGAATCTAGTGGGTGCAGTGGGTGCAACGAGACGGGGCGCAGAGAGTATTGAGCCAAGCAGTCTCCTTTCCCCTCCCCACCGGCCCAGGGCTGGTGCTGCCAAGGAGGTCTTACTCCCGGCGGCCGGCGGACACGCACCTTGCGTTCCATGCGCTCGTTCTGCAATTTCTTCTCCTCGGCTCGCTTCTTGCATTCGGTCACGTAGTGCTCGCGCTCCTTGCGCTCTCGGTACAGCGTCTCCTCCAGAGTTTGCAGCTGGTCCTGCGGGGCACGTGGTGAGCCAGGTAGGCCCAGAGCCACCACCTAGCTGGCAGGGCTGAGTCCCTGGGAGGTAGGTGGGAGGGGCCCTGGAGATCACTCAGATCCTGGGACCCGGCAGGGCAGTTCAAGGCAGTTGGATAGGACCGTGGGGGGTGAGGTAAGTGGGCACCTTGGCGATGTCCCTGGCGCTGAGTGCCTCCTGGTTCACCAGTTGCAGATCGCCTAGCTCATGTTTGGTGTGCAGCACTTGGGCCTCCATAGCATCCAGCCGGTTCTCCATATTGAGGCTTTCCTCCTGGAGGTGGACGGGCCTGTGACTGGCTTGTCCCTGTACAAGCCTGACCTCTGACCTCCCCTTCCGACAACCCCGCCGTCCCCCACCTGCAAGTAGGACTTGAGCTGCAGGTACACGTTGGTGATGTATTCAGCCTCCTCCGCTTTCATCCGGGCCTTTTCCAGGCGATTCTCCAAATTCCGCATGGTCTAGACAACCATAGCGTTAGGCTAAGTAGCCCCCTGCCCCCCAGCCTCCTCCCCCCTGCAGGCCTCGCCGGCCCCACCTTGGCCACGTCCGTGTTCTGGTCCTGAGCCTCGGCCATCTCGAGCTCAAGCAGGCTGTGCTGTAGCTGCAGCTCCTCCAGCCGCTTCTGCCTCAAGTCCACTTCGTGGCGCAGAGCGTTCAGCTGCTTCACCTTCTCGGTTAGTCGGTATTCCAGGTACTCCAGTGCCTGCTGCAGGGGCGGGGGCGTGCCAGAGAGGCTCTGAGCCCCCTCGCCCCCCACCCTGTTCATCCTCCATGCCCTCTCCCATCTTCATCGGCACCTGCCTCCTCCCAGCATCATCCAATCAGACGCCCCTCCTTCCTGCAGGATCTCTTCTCTCCAGGCTTGGGGGAGGAGGGATCACTGGTGCCCCTTTTCAGCCTCCTTTGCCTTTGGAGGGAGGGCCTCAGGGTCTCTTGGGCCCCTGAGTCCCCTGGGCCTCATCTCTCCTCTTCCCACACTCAGAGCCTTGGTGGTCTCATTACTGTCAGGGCTTTAAAGGCCCGATGGTATAGGGTGGGCTGCAATCCGCAAGGTCAGCAGTTTGAAACCACCAGCTGTTCCGGGGAGTGGGGGTGGGGGAGAGATGACGCTTTCTATGCCTGTAAAGAGTTACAGACTCGGAAGCTCACAAGGGCAGTTCTACCCTGTCCGATAGGGTTGCTGAGTAGAGATGGCCTGGATGGCAGTTGAATTTGGTTGTGTGGTATTCTGTGGGACTGCTGACCCCACGTCAGCAGTAGAAGCCATTCGAGAGTGTGGCTGTCTGCTCCTGGGAAAGATGTATAGCCTTGGAAAACCAGAGAGAGGGTCGCTATGGGTTGGAATGGACCCCCAGGGCAGGGGGGTTGGGTCATACCCTGAGACAGGAACCCCCCTGGTGGCACGGCAGGTTGGGTGTTGGTCTGCTCATCAGGAGGTTGATGGTTCAAGCCCAGCACTAGGTCCTGGGGAGAAAGGTGAGGGTGACTGCCCCCATCGGGATGTGCAGTCTTGGAAACACGAGATCGGGTCCCTGTGAGTCAAAATCTACTCAGTGACAGTGGGTTTGGGTTAGATACACCGAGAGGACCCACATTTTACCTCTTCCCTGAACGGCCAGTCCATAGAAGTATAAACGAAAGGGCTTCAAGAATTTGGCAGAGGGGGCAAGAGGGGGGGGGAGTATAGAAATGAAATGTTTAGAAAATAATGATGGCAGCATATGTACAAATATGCTTGATACAATTGATGCATGGATTGTTATAAGAGCTGTGAGAGCCCCCAATAAAATTATCTTTGGATTAAAAAAAAAAACCTGCAAACAACAAAAAAAGTATTTCATAGAAAAATTCCATTACCTTTCCATTCCGTTTTCCAGCTGCCTACAGCTCTGACAGTTGCAAATTGCCACCAAGGTCAACCTTCACAAAGCGCAACCCCATGCACGTCAGAGTGGAACTGTGCTCCCAAGGGTTTTGAATAGGGGATTGCGGGGAAGTGGGTTGTCAGGTCTTTCTGACGAGGTACCTTTGAGTAGACTAGAGTCTCAACCTTTTGGCTGGCAGCCGAGTGTTTCAACTACCTCACCTGGGCCTCCCCGGACAGGCCCATCCAGCCGACTGCCTCCCCATCGATTTCAACTCATGGCAACTCTAAGGGATAGAGTAGAACTGCTCCTCGGGGTTCCCGAGACTGGGGGTCTGGACACAGCACAGTTTCATCCTTCTCCAGTGCAGCGGCTGGAGGATTTGAGCTGCTGCTGACCTTGGCCCCATGCTGAACCCACGGCACAACCAGACGGACTTCCAGGTCAGCCCCACCTCTGCCCTTCTCCCACGGTCTCAGCTCATGGTGGCTCCATCCTTGAAGTTCTCCTTCACTCCCTCTCTTCCCACGATATCAACATCCCATTTGTCAACGAGGGCTCCATGGCCTTGCTCACACGATCCGCCCCCCTACCCTTCTTTCTTTCCACCTCCATTGCTTCTACTCCAGTGTGGTTGACACTTCTCCCCGTTTCCACTTTTGCCTCTTTGCGATCTGTTTCCCCCTCCTCTGTTGCTTGGTGTACAATCTCAACTCATCGCTGCTCGGCCCACCTCCCTCTCTGACCTCCCCTCCTGCTGCTGCACCCCCACACTCACTCAGCTGCAGCCACGCCACCCCACCGGCCTCCTGTGTGGCTGCACCCTCACTAAGCTTGCTCCTGCCTCAGTGACCTTGTACTTCTTGTTCCCTCGGCCTGCAGCCCTCTGACCCAAGTCACCCCTCTTCGCCCCCTATGTCTGCGTGCCTACTGTCAACTCTGCCTCCTTTAGAGAGAGGGCTCTGCGGCTTGGTGTGTTCCCTTCCCACTCAGCTGTGACCTCTCTGAGAGCAGCCCCCCGGTCTCTTGTTCATCGGGGCCCCCCAACACCTGCTCCCACGATAGGCACACACAGTAGGCATGCAGTGATGACTCATTGGGTGACTGCAGGAATGGGGGCCAGTGCAGAGAAAGGACTGGAGAGAGGAGACTGGGGGCGGGCAGGCAGTGCAGTGGGGAGGGTGGGTGGGGACCCAGCAGGAGACGGGAGCATGGGCAGTGAGGGAGAGCAAACCTGGCCTGTTCTGTTCTTTAGGTATGGCTTCCCAGACTTCCAATCTCGAATCACTGCCTGGACCACTTTCTCATCTCCCTGCAGGGCAAGGCGCCTGGTCACCCTCAGCCAGGCCCCCTCCACAGAGGGAGTCCCTGCCCACTCCCAGGTCCCCTCCACTGCCTCTGCCTGGGCACCTGGAGCAGGTTCAGCAGTTGGATCTGCAGCGCTTTGATCTGCTCGTGGAGCTTGTGGATGGCCTCCTGGTTCTTCTTGATGTTCCACTGGGAGCTCTCATAAAAGGTCTTCCGGTCCCCCTCTGGGGCAGGGCAAGCGGGCAGGCACAAGCAAAGCATCATTGCCGTGGCAAGGGGAAGCGTCCCCAAGGAAGACCTAATTGTGACCATCGATGTAATGCTACCACAATACTTCACTCAAAGCACAACAAAACAAAACCCCTCAAACTGACTGCCGTCATGTCAGTTCCAACTCACAGCAACCCTATAGCACAGGGTAGAACTGCCCCTTGTGAATTCCCGAGATTGGAACTCTTCCTGGGAGCAGAAAGCCTCATCTTTCTCCCAGTGAACGGCTGGAGGTTTCAAACTGCTGACCTCCCTGTTGGCAGCTCAATGCATACACCACTCTGGCACCAGGGCCCCTCAGTACCTCATTGGATGCCAGACCAAGAGCTTTGTAGGCCTCAACTTATCCTATGCCAACCGCTTCAGCTATTATCTATCACACCCATGTTTCGATGGCGAGGCTGAGGCTCAGAGAGGCTGACCAAATTGTTCAAGGTCACAGCGGTCTCACTGCTGAGTCCAACCTTCAACCTCCTAATGAAGAAGAGAAACAATAATGACACCAGGATGATCTGTCACCAGGATTTCCCAATCTGGGCATGAATGATACCATCTGGGGCCGGATAATATTTTGTGTGTGGGTAAGTGGGGCTCTCTTGTGAACGACAGTGCAGCCTTGCACTCAGCCTACTAGATGCCAGGAGCACCATCAAACCCACCTTGGCCCCAACCAAATGTGACCACTGAAACATGGCTTCAGAAACTGTCCACTCTCCCTGCCACCCACCCAGTCCCTTCTGACTCCCAGAGACCCTACAAGACAGGGGAGCACTTTCCCTGTGGGTGCCCGAGACTGTGACTCTATGGGAGCAGAAAGCCAGAGATGGCGCATTGGTTGATTTCCAGATGACCATTAGAAAGACCTTACGTCTTTCTTCCACGGCCACCCGTCCAGCATTACAGCACCAAAGGAGTCTTTATTGATCGATGGGCTAAGGAATGTTCTTGAGGTGCCCTGGCTGGCTGCTGTTAGGTGCCATTGAGTCAATGCCAAGTGACAGCAACCCCGTGTACAACAGAGCCAAGCACCGCCCCAACCTGCGCCATCCTTGCAAGTGTTGCTCTAGTGCAGCCACGGTGTCAATCCGTCTCGTTGAGGGCCTTCCTGTTTTCTGCTGCCCCCTCCACTTTACCAAGCACGATGTCCCTCTCCAGGGACTGGTCCCTCCTGGTGACATCTCTCCTGCATGCAAGGTGAGGATTCCTACCAGTGAACTGCCACCACCCTCTCCATGCTGTGTGAGACCAACAGCAAACTCCTCCGTGCTCTGGGGTCTCTGCTGACTCCTAGCCACCCAATGCGACCCAGAACTTCCTCAGAGGCTGTCCTCATTCCAGAAGCAGACTGCCACATCTTCCTCCCATGGAGTGACCCGAGGGTTCAATTGCTGACCCTTCCGTGAGCAGGAGGGTCCTTCACCACCACCACTGACAGATGAGTCGAAACTACACAAAAGTGTGGGAAACAGTCCATTTGCTGTGAGCCCAGGAGATGTCTTAAAACAGAGCAAAACCCTAAGTGTGTATACATTTTGCTCGCGTCCCACCTTGTCTGCACACTGCTGACCCCTGGACCTCTGCAGCCATCTTACCTAAGAGTTGTATCTTCCTTTGTAACTCGGACACCTGTGCGTGTAGAGAGGCCTTCACCCCACTAGGGTATAAAGATCCGGGCTTGGTGTGGGCTGGGTACCAGGCTGGGGTTGCACCCTTGCCTCGAGGGTGGCCAGTCTTGCCCTGAAGGTGACTGCCTTTGGCCTTCAAGGGCGTCGAAAGTTGGTCCTGAGCAGTCAGAACGTGAGCGGAGGCCGCTCTGCACAGCGGAGACGTCATGATGAGGTTGGGGCCGAGAGGCCTTAGGGGCTAGCGCGGCGATTAGGAGTCACCCCTGTCCAGGATCCAGTTCTTGTTAACCGGGCTCTGGGAATGCACTTGCGGACGGTCTAGCAAGGCCTCTCTGCATACCCCGGTTGCTAGGTAACTGCCTCCCCCCGCCTCCCTCCATCCAGAATGTTCCCAAGGAAACCGCCCGCGTTCACCGCCGCGGCTCTCATTGGCTGACGCTCCACGGCGGGGGGCGGGTCCTGACAGGGGGCGGGGCTGAGCAGGGAAGCGAGGAGGCGGGTGCGGAGGGCTGACGCTCTACGGCGGGGGGGCGGGTCCTAACAAGGGGCGGGGCTGAGCGAGGGGGAGGGCGCGGAGGGACGGTTAGTTCGAGGTCACGTGTTCACGTCAGCGCCCGGGCTCCTGCTTCGCGGGCACGGGGCAGCGATTTTCTTTTCCGGCTGCTGGAGCCGCCACTCCCAAGATGGAGGCACCTGGCGCCGCCATTAAGCGCGAGCCTCGGGCTCCACGGCCCTACCCAAGATGGCCGCCGCGGCTCGCGCGCGCCGCCC